AAATTAGCAAGGCATCAAGGAGTACGAGTATTTGAGTATTCTGTGCAAAATGTAAAAAATATGTTTTGATCAGGAAACCTGACTGTAATTTGTCTGCGATTAGAAAAAACTATGTATAATTGGAACATTTATTCACAGCACAGAAAATCCCAATGAAAGATATTGAAGTTTGTGTAAAATGACGAAATGCAAAATCTTTCAGGAGATGATGGGAATACTATTGCAAAGCAGTGCAACATTGCATAAAATGGTGCCTTTTTCCCCACTTAAATTTACAGTAGTAAATCATCTAGGCAGGGAGGAAGATAGAGTTGTCAATGAGACAGACAGAGCTGAGGGCAGTAAAGCAGAAGCCCAGCTGTGTTTTCCAGCAGAGATGGCTGCCAGAGAGAGAGCGAGGGGAAAGACTTGACACTTTGTCAGATAGACAGTGATACAAAATCGAGATGTCAAGAAACTAAAAAAGGGTGCTTCTGGTCATGTGTTCTTTCATTCAATTTCTTTTTTATCTGTATTTTTTTTGCACTTTTAGAGGAAAGCATGTTTGAGTGTGTTTTACTGTGTGCTGAAGCTCAGACGGCAACCCGTACGGAAAGAAAGCTGTGTGAGAGCAAGGCCATTGTGTCTGGATGTAGTGCACACGGCAGTGTGTGTTAGTGCCCTGAAGGGTGACAGAGTGTGTTTATCTTTGCACTGTGTGCGTGAGGAATTAGAGTTGTTTCCCCGCCTGTGTGTGGTTGAGTCAAGAGGACGTGAGAAGAGGCTTCCTCTCCACCTACTTATGTATCTGATTTATCACACACTGCGTGCCCTCAGAGGGTACGCAGGAGTGTTGAAGTAAACCTTTGAGCTCATTCCTCCCTTTGTCAACAGTCTCCATTCATTTTATGTATTTACTGTAAGTAGCGTGTTTAATAAAGTGAGCAGAAACACTGTAACTCATGTAAAATCCTGTTTTTCTAAAGCTGTAATTTTTGGCACAGCTGTGATCTCATGGCTCACTGATTTATTAATTTATTTTAAACAAATACATTTGGATATCGCTTTCATATTTAACTCGAAGACATGAGAATTCTATTGGTGTTATCCTGCCAAGCTTGAAAAGAAGGCAAACAACTGTGGTCTCCAAGATGGTGAACCTTCATTGAAGGTCACAGTTTAATTAGCCTTGAATACCAATGATTTGTGATATGAAAACACAGCAGTCATTAAAAGCATATATTTTGGAAACACAATAAATACTGTCATTTTATCATTTATGTTTCTGTTGAATTCGTTATCCAAAAAATCTGAACTTTGAAATGAAAAATACACTACCGTTCAAAAGTTTGGGGTCACATTGAAATGTCCTTATTTTTTAAGAAAAAGCACTGTACTTTGCTATGAAGATAACTTTAAACTAGTCTGAACTTTAAAGAAATACACTCTATACACTGCTAAGGTGGTAAATTACTATTCTAGCTGCAAATGTCTGGTTTTTGGTGCAATATAATATACATCAGTGTATAGAGATCCATTTCCAGCAACTATCACACCAGTGTTCTAATGGTACCATGTGTTTGCTCATTGGCTCAGAAGGCTAATTGATGATTAGAAAATCCTCATGCAATCATGTTCACACATCTGAAAACAGTTTAGCTTGTTACAGAAGCTACAAAACTGACTTTCCTTTGAGCAGATTGAGTTTCTGGAGCATCACATTTGTGGGGTCAATGAAACGCCCAAAATGGCCAGAAAAAGAGAACTTTCATCTGAAAGTCGACAGTCTATACTTGTTCTTAGAAATGAAGGCTATTCCATGCGAGAAATTGCTAAGAAATTGAAGATTTCCTACAACGGTGTGTACTACTCCCTGCAGAGGACAGCGCCGTGCTTTTCTTTCAAAAATAAGGACATTTCAATGTGACCCCAAACTTTTGAACGGTAGTGTATGTTTATAACTGCTAAGCCTTTTACAACATAACGGATACCAAACACACCAATACAGGTGCTGGTCATAAAATTAGAATATCATGAAAAAGTAGATTGATTTCAGTAATTCCATTTAAAAAGTGAAACTTGTATATTATATTCATACATTACATACAAACTCATATATTTCAGATGTTTATTTTGTTTAATTTTGATGATTACAAATGACAACAAATGAAAATCTCAAATTCATCATATCAGAAAATTAGAATATTGTGAAAAGGTTCAAAATTGATGGCCCCTGGTGCCACACTCTAATCAGCTAACTAACTCAAACCACCTGCAAAAGCCTTTAAATGGTCTTTCAGTCTAGTTCTATAGGCTACACAATCATGGGGAAGACTGCTGACTTGACAGTTGTCCAAAAGACGACCATCGACACCTTGCACAAGGAGGGCAAGACACAAAAGGTCATCGCTAAAGAGGCTGGCTGTTCACAGAGCTCAGTGTCCAAGCACATTAATAGAGAGGCGAAGGGAAGGAAAAGATGTGGTCGAAAAAAGTGTACAAGCAAGAGAGATAACCGCACCCTGGAGAGGATTGTGAAACAAAACCCATTCAAAAATGTGGGGGAGATTCACAAAGAGTGGACTGCAGCTGGAGTGAGTGCTTCAAGAACCACCACACACAGACGTATGAAAGACATGGGTTTCTGCTGTCGCATTCCTTGTGTCAAGCCACTCTTGAACCACAGACAGCGTCAGAAGCGTCTTGCCTGGGCTAAAGAGAAACAGGACTGGACTGCTGGTGAGTGGTCCAAAGTCATGTTCTCTGATGAAAGTAAATTTTGCATTTCCTTTGGAAATCAAAGTCCCAGAGTCTGGAGGAAAAGAAGAGAGGCACTTCATCCACGTTGCTTGAAGTCCAGTGTAAAGTTTCCACAGTCAGTGATGGTTTGGGGTGCCATGTCATCTGCTGGTGTTGGTCCATTGTGTTTTCTGAGGTCCAGGGTCAACTCAGCCACATACCAGGAAGTTTTAGAGCACTTCATGCTTCCTGCAGCTGACCAACTTTTTGGAGATGCAGATTTCATTTTCCAACAGGACTTGGCACCTGCACACAGTGCCAAAGCTACCAGTACCTGGTTGAAGGACCATGGTATCCCTGTTCTTAATTGGCCAGCAAACTCTCCTGACCTTAACCCCATAGAAAATCTATGGGGTATTGTGAAGAAGAAGATGCAATACACCAGACCCAACAATTCAGAAGAGCTAAAAGCCACTATTAGAGCAACCTGGGCTATCATAACACCTGAGCAATGCCACAGACTGATCGACTCCATGCCACGCCGCATTGCTGCAGTAATACAGGCCAAAGGAGGCCCAACTAAATACTGAGTGCTGTACATGCTCATACTTTTCATGTTCATACTTTTCAGTTGGCCAACATTTCTATAAATCCTTTGTTTTTATTGGTCTTCAGTAATATTCTAATTTTCTGATATGATGAATTTGAGATTTTCATTTGTTGTCATTTGTAATCATCAAAATTAAACAAAATAAACATCTGAAATATATGAGTTTGTATGTAATGTATGAATATAATATACAAGTTTCACTTTTTAAATGGAATTACTGAAATCAATCTACTTTTTCATGATATTCTAATTTTATGACCAGCACCTGTACGTTATTTCAGAAAAGATACCCTAATCAAAAATGCCACAATTTAAAGTTTGCGAGTCATTCTCTACACATTTACAAGAAACTTATCCTTCACATGAACAGAAAAACCTTAAATACATTCATCCCACTGTTGGATTTAGCTTTCAATTTGGTTTCATCCACCCATTCGTCCACCTATCCATCTTCTATTGCTTATTCCTTCAGGGTCATGGTGTAGCTGGTGCCTATCTCAAGCAGTCTATGGACGATAGGCTGGGTACACCCTGGATAGGTCGCCAGTCTGTTGCAGGGCAACACAGAGATGCATAAAGAAATACAACCACGCACACACAGACACACTCACCTAAGGACAATTTAGAGATGCCAATTAACCAAACAGTCATGTTTTGGACTGTGGGAGGAAGTCAGAGTACCCGGAGAGAACCTATGGATACACAGGGGGAACAGTCAAACTTATTTGGTTTCATTCAACCAATATTTTTCTTTTTCAACAGGAAATCAGAAAATCATTTAAAGGAATAAATCAATAGAACTATACCTAAACTGATTCAATATCATGTTAATTAAGTTCTCTGTTTTAAAGAAGCATCCAAAAACATGTAGTAGTAAAGTATTTAAAAAATATTCATACTCTTGTGACCCATACAGTAAGAGCTGAATGACAGCGAGGAGAGACACTTCCATTCCATTGATTTAATTTCACTAATCAATGCTGGACCTTAAACCTCAGTGGAAATGAAGAAGAAACAGGATAGAAATAATCTATTTAGTTCCCTTAAAAAAAGTCCCAGGGGGTCAAAGTTCTTTGTGGTTCTGACTGAAATACGACTCATGCCACCCCCTCATTCCCACCCCTTTCTTGATTAAAACGACTCCTAATTGAGAACTACTCATGAATAGGAAATTAGACTTATGTCACTTTTTTTTTTATAGCTGTACTCTAAATAAATGCTAATTTGTTGTAGGCAGTAGGTGCTAACTGCAATAATGAATAAAAACTACCAATCTCACTCTAAAAAAACAGAATGTCATATTCAGTTATGCAACAAGGATTTAATTCATTTATTTAAATTTTTCAAAACTGTATGTTTTGAAGTGCAAATATATCCTGACGCTGCAAGGCGACTACACCCATAAAAATGACTGAGTCAACAGGCCAAAGGAAGCTAAAATAGGAAACTCCATTTTGAATCATAAGAACAATGTGCTCATAAAAGCCATTAACCAGTCCACACAACCTGACCTTCTAGGAGATGTGTCCCTTCAATAACTACTCGGATAACCATCAGTTTTTGTACCTTTCCAACAAATAATTTTGCTTGATAAAACTTGCAATACTTGGATCATGGGTAACAATGTAATATTAGTATTAACCTATGTGCTATTTTTATTTTTCATCCACAGGTATTCCACGCCAACACTGATCCCACAGAAGTGGTTCTCAACAGGATCCCTCAGCCGGTCCTCACACGTTTCGTGCGAATCAGACCTCAGTCGTGGAAGAACGGTATATCTCTACGTTTCGAGCTCTACGGCTGTCAGATTACAGGTAATGCAACACTGTTCATCTGCTTGGCATTTCCATGAGATCTAAGGAAATGTGTCGTTTACTAATTACTGCTACAGGATTCCCTTCCCTTACATCCAATCCAAAGTCTGTTCAGGGGATTCTCCAGCGAAATCCTTACTGCAGCAGATACACTATATTGCCAAAAGTATTTGCTCACCTGCCTTGACTCACATATGAGCTTAAGTGACATCCCGTTCCTAATCCATAGGGTTCAATATGACATCGGTCCACCCTTTGCAGCTAGAACAGCTTCAACTCTTCTGGGAAGGCTGTCCACAAGGTTTAGGAGTGTGTTTATGGGAATTTTTGACCATTCTTCCAGAAGCGCATTTGTGAGGTTGCACACTGATGTTGGACGAGAAGGCCTGGCTCTCAGTCTCCGCTCTAATTCATCCCAAAGGTGTTCTATCGGGTTGAGGTCAGGACTCTGTGCAGGCCAGTCAAGTTCATCCACACCAGACTCTGTCATCCATGTCTTTATGGACCTTGCTTTGTGCACTGGTGCACAGTCATGTTGGAAGAGGAAGGGGCCAGCTCCAAACTGTTCCCACAAAGTTGGGAGCATGGAATTGTCCAAAATGTCTTGGTATGCTGAAGCATTCAGAGTTCCTTTCACTGGAACTAAGGGGCCAAGCCCAGCTCCTGAAAAACAACCCCACACCATAATCCCCCCTCCACCAAACTTTACACTTGGCACAATGCAGTCAGACAAGTACCGTTCTCCTGGCAACCGCCAAACCCAGACCCGTCCATCAGATTGCCAGATGGAGAAGCGCGATTCGTCACTCCAGAGAACGCGTCTCCACTGCTCTAGAGTCCAGTGGCGGCGTGCTTTACACCACCGCATCCGACGCTTTGCATTGCACTTGGTGATGTATGGCTTGGATGCAGCTGCTCGACCATGGAAACCCATTCCATGAAGCTCTCTGCGCACTGTTCTTGAGCTAATCTGAAGGCCACATTAAGTTTGGAGGTCTGTAGTGATTGACTCTGCAGAAAGTTGGCGACCTCTTCGCACTATGCGCGTCAGCATCCGCTGACCCCGCTCCGTCAGTTTACGTGGCCTACCACTTCGTGGCTGAGTTGCTGTCGTTCCCAAACACTTCCATTTTCTTATAATACAGCTGACAGTTGACTGTGGAATATTTAGGAGCGAGGAAATTTCACGACTGGATTTGTTGCACAGGTGGCATCCTATCACAGTTCCACGCTGGAATTCACTGAGCTCCTGAGAGCGACCCATTCTTTCACAAATGTTTGTAAAAACAGTCTGCATGCCTAGGTGCTTGAATTTATACACCTGTGGCCATGGAAGTGATTGGAACACCTGATTCCAATAATTTGGATGGGTGAGCAAATACTTTTGGCAATATAGTGTATATTTAGGACATGGAAAAATAGTCTGTGGTACGAGTAACACACACTGGATATGCCATTATTGAAATGAACTTAAATGTCACAGCAATGAACCAGCAATAATATTGTTTAATGCTCATAATTGTGCTTCGTCTGCACAATGATTCACTCAACTAAAATTATATACTGTAAGCTGCTCTAGCTTTAGATTTCTAAATTTAGATAGGTATGTAATATATGCATGTTTAAGTTATGATATGATGATATTTCTACCATTTCCTCACAAGTTGAGTTTTTGTTAGATACATTGACAGAGGAAGATCATTGCACTGTTTTTTGCATATTGACTTTATTAAGCTAGCACTGTTTAGTGTTCCTTTATCTTTAGAATTTTAAAAGCTAATAAAAGCATAAAAAGCATATATTTGTGGACCACTTGGGCGATCACAGGCCTAGATGGTCCTTGATGGTCAGGCAATGAATAATTATTGAAAAGATACAAAAAGAGAGAGAAAAAGTAAGCTCCTTTTTTCCATTTACAGGGCAGCCAACAATTTCCTATCCTTAATTCCAATATAAATGAAATATAATACTAAACATTAACAAAATCTCTATGCTTCACATGATGCAAGAGAAGAACAATAATAGAATTTGATCAAGCATAAAGACTTATTAAAAAAACTGAAGTATGTCTCCTTTTGAGATTTTTGTAACAACACATAAGACACAGTTTAGGTGGGAAAAGGTTGGGTCAAAGATAAAATAGCTTTCATAGAAAACATTTACTGGAAAACAACAGAGGGACAGTGAAAGAAATGTTCTATTTCTTCTCACGTGTATAATCTAATGAAAATTCAGTTCATACTTTAATCTTTTTTTTTCTTCCATAACACACCCACTCCTGTGCACTCACACTCTTGCCCTCGCTCTTTCATATCCATATCCTCCTTCTCCGACTCCCACTCATATATCTCTCTCACACACACATAGAGACACACTTGGTCCTAATAGAATAATACTAGAGTGTCATGTGTGGGTGATAACATCAGAGAGTAACAGGCTCTCAGCTTTCATCTGTAGCTCTGGCAAACAAACACGATTTCAACCAGCATAATCAGCTCGATACTATAAATAGATAAAACTTAATTATGCTGTCTGTGTTTGTGTGTGTGTCGAAAAACTGTGAAAGATAGGATTTTAAGTCATGACTGGACCCTTCCGTGTGCGTGTGTCTCTCCGCTCCGCTGTATCATTATTAGGTTAGGGCCTCTCCCTGGTGCCATTGTTGCGGCCATTTAGGGGGGACAGATATGCTTTTATCCAGGAGGGCTATTTCAGCACCCACACAAATCACAATCGCACCAAAACAATATGACAAGAATGGTAGACTATACATCTATGTACAGTATATATATATCTATATTCAGCTATCCTATCTGCGCTCTTTTGTATTTTTAGTATATTTTAATGCCTCAAATTGCAATATATATCACCTTAAGTTTTGCACTGTTTTGTTTCTTCAGATCACGTCAAAAATATATTTACCAACAGATTTAATTTGCCTATTTTCCATTCATTGAGCTTTCAGTGGTGGAGCTAAGGAGCTAAAACTTAAAAAAAAAGTTCTCATATCCCTTAACCTTTTTTGCCTATTTTTTACATCACAAACACAAAAACCAACATAAAGTTGTGCAAAACTTTATGGAAATGCTGTTACATATGCAGTTGTTATGTTTTTCGCCAACAGATATCTAAACAACACTTGTTGATTTAGACCCGTTTAATCCAAGCCCCCTGGATAAAATTTAAGCCAACCAATTGGATTATGTGTAGTTAATTAGTTAGTTATGTGTAGTTAGGTGAGTGAAAGAAAAAGAAGATCTAAAACTAGCAGGGTAGTGGATGACAGAGGTTGAAAAACTCTTGAATAGAGAACATTAGAGGACAATCATCATCCTCAGACAATTTACATTAGTTTTAAAAGCATTTTCATCTTTAAACATTTTTAAGAACCCTTAGTCAATCCATCCACTAAAACATTATAGCACATGGAAAGAACATGTTCAGCCAAACTGACAGTTTTTTTTTTGTCTTTTTTTTTTTTTTTTTTTTTTTTTTAGAAAAGCAGCCAGAGGCTTATATCATCTATGAAATAGCTGCAGAGTATCATAACCTAGGTTGGAGAATGTGTCAACAATAAATAGATTATATGTGCACCTTTGCAGTTTCACCTAAAGGAAACAAAGATCTCAATTGACACTTTTTTATTGTTCTTAAAAGTTAGCCAGTACTTGTTTTTTGTCACAGTTTTGCACTTTTTGATTGTATTTAAGTTTTTTTTTTTGAGTTTTCATGTTTCATTTCCATTGTGTGGTCTGTTTATATTTCAGTTCTATGCATTTCTTGTTCACCCTCTGTTGCCCTCGTGTGTCAGTCTCCTTCCCTTAGCTCCCTTCTAGTTTCTTCTGTCCACACCTGCTCCCAATCAGTTCATTACCCCGGCTTTATTCTGTTTGAGATATATACTCCTCCTCTTCAGTCACTCTTTGCTGGTTCCTTGTTGTTTTTTGATCCTTGTGAGTTTTGCCTGATGTATTCTGGTTTTTGTTTTCTGTACTTTGATATGTTTTTTGGATTTTTACCCTCAGTTGCCACCTTTTGCATTATTAAATCTGCAAGAAACCACTTTAGCTTCTGTCTCTGCATTTTGGTCCACTTCAAACCTCCCAACAACCTGACATTTGTATTCAGTGCAGAACACAGTATAGAAAATTAGACATTGGTTTTGTTACAATTTTAACCAATGTTTATTCACATTTGAAACAAAAAAGTAATTCAAAGTGTATTGATTTGCTAGATGGCTTAGTAGAAGTCCAAACTTAAATCCAAATAACAATCTTTCGCAAGATTAAAATATTTTTAATGCTTTCCATTCATATTTAATAGCCAAAGTATTTTGCAAAAACATCTTGATTTTCAAAATTGGTGTAGATATATATATAAATATGCAAAACGCAATTTCTGATGGGCCGAATTGAAAAATATGTGTAATTAATGGTTAAACCTCATAGTTTTGCCTTTCTTTGTGTTAAACTATTGCATACAATCCTTAAAATAACATTTTGAAATGTGTCGTCATAACGTGATAAAGCGAGAAAACATTTAAAAGTAAGAAATAGCTTTGCAGGACACTTAATGCAAAATATTACCAGGTTCACCTTGTTTAAATGAGTGACAGGGATTTATAGACAGGAGGAAAACATCTGCACAAAAAAATGTTGTGCTGCAAGAAAATGTATTTTCTACAGTTTTATATCTGCTAACAGACATTACATTTCTGCTCATAGACATGAAGACAAGCCCGCAGTCTAACACACTCTCGCTATGTGATAATGCCCTACACAGGCCTATAAAGGCAGAAATAAAGCAGTCAGTCAGTGACATGCCATTAACTTAAATCACACTTTTATTTCTCCTGCTCTGCTGTTCTCTCACCCATCTCTCTTCAATGTCTTTGTGTTTTTTTTCTTCCTCCTCATTCTGGCTTCCCTTCCGATGTCCTTCTTTCGCCTTTGCTGACAGCTTCCATTTCCGCCTCTCTCCAGCCGTTTCTCATTTGCTTCTCTCCGTCTCGTCTTCCTTAAATCTTCCTGGTGCCTGCCTCCTTCAGCGGCTCCTTCCTCACCTTAATCCCATTTTATTTCAGTACTGCAGCTCTTTATCAATCACTCCCTTTCAGTACCTGTTATTATTTCCCTCCCCAGGCCTGTGAGGCACTCGTATCCAGTCATGTAGAGCTCCATCCGCTGTAGTGGGAGCTGGTTATCAGGGAAAAAGCTTCATGTGTGGGTGAAACATCAGAGCATACGTTGGGTGAAAGTGGGCTTCAGTGCATGTGTGAGACCTTGACGGTTTTTGCTGGTGTGCACATATCGGTTTGTGTAAGCCTGTGAGTTTAAGAGCTCTTACGCTGGTGTTTTACATCTGCCTGTTTTTGCAGGGATGAGAGGAGATGATATTCTTGTCGACTCCCACTGCACTCCTGATTTAAAAAAGGCCAGCAGCTCAGGCACAGAAACAGCACATATAAAACTAGACAATCATAGAGCTATGGCTAATAAGTTTTGCCGAATGTTGCAGAGCTTGAGGGAGCTCACGGAGCCCGTCGCTGTTTGTTGTGGATGAATTATTTACAATAACGAGGCAGTGCTGCAAACGTCACTGCATTAAACATTCATTTCCTCAAAGACCTGAAGAATGTCACCATCAATCACTGTCACCTCTCTTTCTTTCTCTTCCCCTGCATCCTTTTCCTTTTTATTCACTCCCCATTCTGTCATTTCATCCTTCTTCTTGACCTTTTGTCCAACCTTTAGCTGTTCCTTCTCCTTTATCCTACCTTTCTTTTCCCCCTCTCTTAGTTTAATCTAATTTTTGTTTCAAACCAATACTCTCCTTGAACATCTTCAAACAAAGGGTGGCCACATTGTTTGATTCACTTTGTTTTCCATCATTATTCATCACAGTGCTGTTTTTGAGGCTTATTAGATTAAAACTCATTTGTCTCTGTAATAAACAGCTCGGCTTTGATCTTCAGCATGCTTTTATTTAGCCTTTTTTTTTTTGCTTTTGGGAGAGCGCTGCCCCAATTCCCCACACAGGATCCCTGTCTGACTGCTCGGTTAAAGTTATGTGTCAACTTTTCAACCGCAGGATGAGAAAATAATGAAACAGGATGAAGGAAAAACAGCAGGAAGAGGCTCTGGGGTGTAAGACATCAATTGATGTTGTAACAAATTGTTTCAGGAATAAACAAAGATCTTTTTCTCCAAAATTATGACCAACATTAACTCTTGATTATTATGTTTATTGCATTCATGATTAGGCAAAAAACTCTTTAAAATTGTTATTGTGGACCCATTTTTTCTACAAGGTCTGGATCTTTTGATGTTGCACCGCCTCCTAACAATCATCTCTTGTTTATTTTAATGGTTAAGGGAGACATGAGATAGAAGAAATCAACCCTGGCCCTTCCTTGCTGCATATTGGACGATAAGCCAGATGCCCTCCTTTTTTTTAATATTTTAGAAAACTCTGCCGCCTTAGTGCTGCAACTCTTACTTGCCTTTTACTCTGCACAACTGCTGCAGAGTTGATGCAGCTTCCATACCATTATCAGACTGAGTAGTAACATTATTAGCTAGTACATTTTACTGTGCTCTCTTATTTACAAGGATTCCCTCATTTTAACATGTTGGAAATTTTAACCTGAAAAGTGAAACTGACAGCATTACCTCCGTTTTCTTTGGTTAGGCCACTACTGTATCTATCTGACCACTTGGAGGATTTAAAGGAATAGTACACCCAAAACATGATTAGCCTTCATTTTCTACTCACCCCCATGCTGAACAACACTCTGGAGTACTTTTTTGATATCTTAAATGCATCTGGAGATCTGGGAGGCTTCTTGCTGTCTGCTGACATTCAAATAATGGAGGTCTATGGTGCCCGAGGCAGAAAGGTCCATAAAAGTCCACAAAAAACGTGTCAATATTCCTCCATACTGCTCGTCCAATGTATTCCAAGTGTCCTGAGTGGGTAGCATCCAGAATTTACTGGAAACAAAGTTATTTAGAATGTTTTTAGAGCATAAACGGTAGTGTATAGGATTTCCTGAATGCGCGTTCACGACGCTACGGAAACCACGGCAGACCAAACCAGATGAAAGTGCGCAATCAGCTCGGCAAATAACTCATGCTCTTCCTCAACACTGAAGTCCTCAGACATTTTTCTTTCGTTGTTTCTTTCTTTGCACAGGTAAACAGCACATTTCTTCTTCTACGCTTGCATTATTGGCAGAGCAGACGCTGAATGCGCACTTTCATCTGGTTTGGTCTGCCGGCTTCCGTAGCGTTGTGAACGCGCAGGTGCGCGCTTTCAGGAAATCCTATACACTACTGTTTATGCTCTAAAAACATTCTAAATGACTTCGTTTCGAGTAAATTCTGGATGCTACCCACTCAGGACACTTGGAATACATTGGACGAGCAGTATGGAGGAATATTGACACGTTTTTTGTGGACTTTTATGGACCTTTCTGTCTCGGGCACCATAGATCTCCATTATTTGAATGTCAGCAGACAGCAAGAAGCCTCCCAGATCTCCAGATGCATTTGAGATATCAAAAAAGTACTCCAGAGTGTTGTTCAGCATGGGGGTGAGTAGAAAATGAAGGCTAATCATGTTTTGGGTGTACTATTCCTTTAACTTGTAAATATATATATATATATATATATATATATATATATATATATATATATATATATATATATATATATATATATATGTATATATATATATATATAAGCAAAATTGCGCAACACTGTAAATGTTTTCTATGTTTCTCTTAAAACAACAAGATCTAGAGTAAAAGCACACCTAGAGGAAACAACCTCGCCCTGAACTCTGTCCGGAGTCCAGCTATTTTAAATAGAAACACATATACAGAAAAAAGACAAAAAAAAGTACACACATTTAAACTGTGCGTGCATAAATAAATACAACATCTTCATTTGAATGCTGTTTGGAAATTCATTGGGAATTCATTCTGTAATAAGATTGATTCTTAATAACTTCACATTTTAAGAAGCAGTGAAGCTATTGTGCTTAACTCCTCACCTGCATCCATGACATCATGTCGTCAGCTGTAGACTGACCTGAGCTCATGTTGAGCTGTTTTCATATTAGCTTGATTAAATATGTTTTTATTGAACTGTGGCCTTATTGTTTACAGAAGGCAAAATGTATTCTACTGCAACAATAAAAGAAAGTCCTTCTGTATGTGTTTAATTTACACAAAGTGCAATTCCTGTACCCACAGTGCTTTACATTTGATCTCTATGTAAGGGTACGTTCAGGACTGCAGCAATTCAAAACAATGCAAAGGACAAGCTTCTAGCAATGCAAGTGTCAATTATGGCTGTAATTATGGCAATTACAGCGAGACGATGCTGCACCTGCCATGTATGACTGTCACTGGATTTGAAAAATCTGAACTGTTTTATCAAGATGCAAAATAAGGGACTAAACGTGTGACGTAGGATAAAGGAGCACCGCGAAGAAAAAGCTGGTTTCAATCTAAATAGAAGATACAAGAAATGTTAAAGAATATGAATAACTAAGGAATGCTCTTTATAGGTTCATAAGTGGCTTTAAAAATGCCTAGGTGCAGTGCTGGCCACATGCGGCTATGAGTTGAGCTCTGGTTTCTTGCTCAGATCTCCCACTGCTCCGTGTCACTGTACCTCTGTTTTTAGAGGAATAACAGTTTTGGGTCCTGATCAAATGGAAGTACCAATGGATCCAGCTGCAGCTCCAGGAATCCCCAAACTGGGAGCATCGCTGGAGGATCTGGTGGATTCAGTTCTGGGACTTTAATTAATTAGCAAACCATGTTGTCCGTTTAAACTTTCCATTATGTAGTTATTTCTACCATAAGTCGGTTATTTACAGAAAAATAAACAGTATAAAGTTACTTGAAGTGTAAATCCAAGCTAGATGTGATTGGTTGAAATGTTTTAAGTTGTTTGAATGATAGCAGCATTACTTGCAGCTATATTTTCATTTACTCCTTTTCCTTGGCAGACTCTTGGATTATAGGCACTCGGCTACAAATGTAATTCAAATTTTGTTGGCTTTTCATATCTTAGTTAGCTGATTTCAACAATTATATGTGTAAAAATCTTTAAATACTCATTTGAAACCTATTGTATTATCTGTCTCTTTGGGTATCTCTTAGATGCTCCCTGTTCAGAGCTGCAAGGCATGCTGTCTGGCCTCCTCCCTGACTCCCAGATCTCAGCATCCTCCATGAGGGACATCCACGGCTCAATGGGGGCGGCCAGACTGGTCGCCAGCCGGTCGGGCTGGTTTCCTAACCCGACACAACCTATAGCTGGAGAGGAGTGGCTGCAGGTCTGTGACTTTAACTTTATGCTGCAAAACTAATGTACAAAAGATCTTCCTGAGTAGAGTTCCCATTATCGGGTGAATTTTTCAGCAAATGCACATTACCGAAGAATTAACTGTTATATGACCATATTTGACTGTAGATGCATCAGAGAGGCACTAAATCATAAGTCTCATTTTATTATAAAGATTTGAAAAATATAATTAAATAGTTTTTGATTATGTTTTAACAATAAACATGATTTCAATGAGATGTTATACACAAAATAACTGCATGATAATTAGATTTGCTTACGTCATAAGTTCACCTTTGTGTTCCTGTTAACTGTGTAATGCACCATTTATAAAACCTTAGACAGCCATCTTTATTTTGTTTTTGTAAATCGAGTCCATTTTATATTTTAAAACATATCCCAAGTGATGTCTAACAATAGGCTCTGATATTTTGCGAAAAAATTCCATGTTTTGTCATTCAAGTACATTTTAGCACCAAAACTTTAATTTTCTTTGAAAAGTTGAGTCTAAACTCTATTTGTCACTGTGTGATGAATCTTTAAAACTGGATAAAAGTAATAATATTAGAATCCATAGAGTGTTACCTTAAAATACATCTTTTTTCGGCTTGTGTTGTAATCATGACTGTTGCAGTTTTACTTAACCAAATTTTCTTTCTGCATATATTAAATAATAGGCATTTTTAGGACACTTTAAGCTGGTATCAATATTGAGAAAATGCAATTAGTTTATCATTTTTAGGCATCATATTTGTACAATAAAATAATTAATGTATAAAATACAAATAATTTACTAATATTAGGAAAATATTTCATGAAAGAAACAAATGTCTGATATTTAAAGCCTCCTTTAGTCATGAAATTATGTCTAAATGTTTCTATGGTTTGAAAAATGTCCTTTTAGTGAAGAATAAGGACTAAAGACCACCACCATCCCAAACTGAAAGGTCTAGACACGTTTTTTCTGTATTGCAGGTGGATCTAGGTGTACCCAAGACGGTCCGAGGCATAATAACTCAGGGTGCCAGAGGGTTGGAGGGCAGCACAAGTTCTGACAGCCGAGCTTTTGTGAGGAAGTACAAACTGGCACACAGCCTAAATGGAAAAGACTGGAGTTACATCATTGACAGCAAAACTGGGTTTGCTAAGGTAAATAAAAATTAACCTAAAATAAACATTGCAAGTTCATTTTCTTTCGTCTTTATTCAGTTTCCTAACATGTACTTTATACAAACTCTTCATAAATCTAGAGATTTTTCTCTCAAATTTTATCTACCTCAACTTTAAAATGTTTTTTTTTTGTTTGGTAGAAAGTTAATTTCATTCCAGCATCACCTCTAAAAACAACTGCATTTAATCTGCTCAATCCCATTGCTTATTTCTGCCTTCTTTCCTTTTCCCTTTACTCTTTCTTTCTCTCCTCCACTTGTTCACTCATCCCCTATTTGTCTCTCATGGGTGTTAATTAAAAATGTCTTTTCTGCATCACTACTCAACACTGCTGGCAGTCTAACGCACCATGAGACAGGGCTCTTCATGCTCCTTTCTGAGACTGTCTTAAAATGCTTTAATAGTTCTACTACTGCCGGGGTTTTCAACTGATGTTAAAAATCCTGTTCGCTCTCATCTGGCTGTCTTTTTAAATGAGCATCCTGGGAAAATCATCTAAGTTTTTTTTCCTTTTAGTTTAGAAATCTTAAAGGCAGAAAATACAACTTAATCCATGAAACCAATAGTAGTCTTGTCTAGTCTTGTCTAGCTCTAGGTTTGTAATAAACCCTATTTTTTCCTCTTTTCTTTTCCTTTGCTAGAGGCTGCTGCTGCCTCAAAGAATATTTGAAAATCAAAAGGAACACACTTGTTATTTTTTATGACACATGTCACACTGAGATGAGAAACAATGTTGATTAGCTCTGCTGTATGACTTCAGACAGGCTTACTGTTCCTTTGTCGGTGAGAGTTAAATAGAAAATAGTAATATGTTTGTATTTCCTTGAGTTTTCTAACATTCAGGCTCACACTGCAAAAAATTGAAATCTAATTAAGTCATTTTTGATTAAAATAAGGGATTTTTTTCTTGAATTGAGCAGGTGAGTGAGACACTTTGCCCATAGAACAAGAAAATTTATATTTAAAATAAGAAAAAAAACTATTGCATTGTCTTATTTTAAGTGCATAATATCTAATTATCTTACTTAAGGAGTAAATATACTCATTCCATTGTCAAATACACTTGATACAGATGTTTTTGCAGTGCAGTGTCAGTATTGCCCAAAACTGGAATTGCAACATCCGTGCATAATCTGAAATGACACTTTTAAAAATGATTTTGGACAAAGCTTTTTTAATCTTGAAGAATGACATCATCTCTAAATGTGTTTACTCAGATCTTTGAGGGGAACAGCCATTATGATACTCCAGAAGTGAGGAGGTTTGACGAGATTGTCGCCCAGCACATCAGAGTTTTTCCAGAGCGATGGTCACCTGCTGGCATCGGTATGAGGATGGAGGTTCTTGGCTGTGACCTGCCTGGTAAGAGAGCAAGCACTTTAGCATAAGGCATGAATTATTTACAGCCTAAGACTGTTTAGGTCAGGGCTCTGAAACACCTGTCCTTGGTGACAAATGTGTGTTAGATGCGTGTCCGGGGTTCAATGCTTCCCAGAGATGCTTCCAGCATGACAAAGTTCTACTGACTGCTGCTAATTACCAAACTATTTAGCTCAGAGTTTGCTGAGGCAGATCCTGTTCAAAAGTTTCAGGACAGGAGTTTGGAAGTCGTGGTTTATTGTCTGGTTGCAGTTCAGAGGTGGTGCCTGCCAGTGACCAGGTCTGTAGGAGAAATTTGGAAAATCTTCCAACTTCCAAACAGCAGAAATTTTTTACTTTTTTTTAATAGTATCCATAATTTATTCTACAAGATGTAGTGCAAGAAAAACATCTAAAAAAGAATTTTGGTTGATATTTAAGAACCTGTAGATTTTGAACATTTTTGTTTCTTGTTTCTGCAAAACAAGACAACATTAAACCTTTTTTTGAAAGAAATCTTTTGGTATTAAAAAAATAACTCGATAGTTTATACTAGAATCATAACAGGTTGTTCTTTAGTTTTAAAGCTAAAATATTTATAAAAATTTAAATTACTTTAACCCAAAGTCAACAATCCAGTAAGAGAGAATCTTTGGGGTGAAAGATTAAAGAAAAGGGTAATGGCAAAAAGCTGCACAGACTCAAATACTTGGTGCTTATTTCAAAAGGGAAATTCTTTATACGAGTAGAAACCTTTTAAAGATTTGATTCCCTTAATGCCAGTTAGTATTTTTTACCTCCATTGGGTATTAAGTGCAGAGGTTGTGCTACACTTTTTCACTGTTTCTGATTTTCACTGACAAACTCAACAAAATTCTGTCATAATTTATTTTTAACTGTCAGCTTATTTTTCTGAATGATTATAATTTAACAGTTTGAAGCATTTTGTTAAATTGATTTTCACATTCACACCCAGTGAATTTTCACCAAATGAGGTGATCAGAAGTCAGTGAGATGAAGGTTTCCTAACCCAGCATGGACTTAATTCAGCAGAAGGAAATCTGGTTGAAACAGCTAATCATTATATCATATGCCATGAAATGATCAGGGCATGAATTGCTATCCGTCAGATTTCTATATCATGAAAAAAAAAAACAGTAAAATCTGGAAAATAGTTGGTAAACGTGACTTCAGATTTAGAATATAAACCATTTTTAGGTTTGCTTTTTCAGTAAAAGATTAGATCTTTTTTTACATAATTTTATATCTTTCAGAGATGACTGCCTTATTTCTTGTTTAAAAATAACTGCCTTATTAAATGAAAAGAATTAAAATTTAAAATGTATGTATAAGTTTGGCCTTAACTATACCTGGAGTGTTAAATAGACAACATAAGGCGATGGAGTGAAACACCTGAGTCGTCTTGTAAACATTGTTGAGTATCTTATGTAAAATTGTAATTTTAATTGCATGAGTAGAACCAACTAAGGGTAAGCACAATTAACCTAAACTTAAAGTTGGTTAAGATTAAACAGATTATTATGTCTTTTGCGCAGTCGCATCAATATTAAAAATCTTCTGTCACAATCTAATAAGACAAATTTGGATAGTTAATTCTGTGCACTATGCTGTGTGGATCAGTTGTTTGTGTCTTTTTTCTATATATATATATATATATATATATATATATATATATATATATATATATATATATATATATATATATATATATATATTTAAGGTTACAGTTAATAATCTTGCTCCATAGGAGGTTTTTCAACATGTCTGGGCGGGGATTAAAATGTCTAGGTCGGAGACTTAAACACATAGTGGCCAGCTGTGTAATGCATTGTGCTCAAAGCCTATTCGGTTGGTAACATCTTTCAGGAGTGTAGCAATGGAGCTGAGCTATGGTTTCGGTTCATAATCAGTTCTTTTAAAACTAAAAATCTGTATTTTTCTGACTTGGCTTGAAATATTCTTCTACATTAGGATTAGTGTGAAAGGAGAGGTAATTTAGCACGGTGATGAATGTGCTCCATCAATCTACATGTTACTTTACTGAGCTGTGAAAGTACAATTTATTATAATGCACCATTGCTCCATGGACCACTTTAGCTGCGGCAAGCATTTCTTTCCCCTGCTGTGCAATCATTTTAGGAATAAAGAAAGCCATTGTACCAATGCTCCTACATTTATGGCCTAACTTGCACAATAACATTGAGCTACATCAATTCTTCAACTAATGAACCAGAGACAATGGGTAGAAAATTTGTAAAAAAAAAAATGTCCTTGTTAATGTCCTGTGCTGTGTTTTTTAAATAATCAGGGATCTAACTCATTCTGCGTTGCCTGTCTAAAAATGCTGCTGTTATTTCCCGCTTCCGGATTTTACTACTGTAGTCCCAATGTGGCATGTGACAGGTGAAGACATGAACAGGATACGACACGTACCTGCTCCCAGTAGACAGCAATGGGGCTCCAGCTGATGGACACAGTTGTGCTTTTCTGAGCTTGTGTGTGCATACGGGATGAGAAACAATGCCCAAAGGGAGCAATATATCCCAGATGTGTCAGGCCCAACCAGTAGGCTGCTTATGATGGGGACACTGGATAAAGAGAGGGACAATTTGTTTATTTTTTATCTTCTGAGTTAATGAGGCACTGACCACTTTGGCATGTCTGATAAAGGTTTGCAGAAAGCCTTATTGATAATTTGTTAAAAAGGATTTCAGAAAAACAGAATTAATTAGAGTACGTTCATTACTGGTACTACTGGAGCAAATTTGTGGTATTATCTCTTGTTCATGTTTGATGTGACACCTTTGCACAAACTCCTGGCCCCTGCCTGTATTTTCTTCTCTGTGCCTTCAGAGTACAATGACCAGGGGAAAGATTGTTTTTTTGTTTAATTTCTCCTTTGAGTTTAAAATACATTTTGGGACAATTAGTGATGAGACAGTTTCAGTTTGCTGGCAGAGATCAGCAGAGTTTCAGCCAGAAGTTGAACTCTAAAAAGGTCCCTAATGCATTTGGAAGATAGAAACAGGCCCACAGGCTCGTATTTGTATCTGACCAAGGGAAAAGGATCCACTGAAAATCCCAATACCGTTTTGAAAACTCTATATATAGATTTGCCATAATAGATCCAAACATTTTTCTTACATATCTATCAAAGAACCAGTTGGCAAATTGGTGATTCCCTGATCACTGATTAGTCAAAACATAAACCCTCCTCCTTATCCAGCATTGTCAGAAGCTGCAGAACAAAGTTTCTTATATTTATGCTATAAGGATCAATCACAAATTTATTATGCAGACATTATCAGCCCAAGTTCAACTAATAGATTTTTCCAGTTAATGTATTTTAACAGAAAATTCAGATAGAGTATTATTGATGGAAATAAAACAATTCAGCTTCACATTTGGCTGTTAAAATTTCAATCACACAGATTTGCTTTAGTCTCTAGAGAATAAACTCAATGAGAGAATAACAATGTTCAAAAATAATCACTCATTAAACAGTAATGCTGAATTATTTTTCTGACATAAACATTATATCTCTACACAAACACAAGCAGTAAAACAACTTTTTTATTTCGTGTGTGATTGCATCTGATGCAAATCACGAGCAATCAGCCCCCGTTGCTGCAAAGATCAACATCTTTACTGCTCCGTGGCTGCAGTGATTGTCTGCTGGTCTGGCTGTCTGTGCCTGCTTGCCAGATGTTCACCCTCTGGATGTAATCCGTGCATTAGACATGATAACAGTTCATTCCCACTTCACTGGAACACCATAGCAACTGCTTCTTCTACCAACCTATAAATAAAGCCACATGGTGAGATAAGTCTACATTCTAACTTGAAGTTTCGCCATCTGTTTTTGAGGATGAAAAAAAAGCGTTATATATGATGTCACAGTTATTTTCAAGTTATAACTAACAACAAAATAACCCATTTCCTCCCTGCTATTGTTTATTTTGTTCCAGAAGAAAAGCTGAAATATTCAGCTGCACATCATCCTCATTCCACTTAGCGCAGCTGCTTCCACCAAAGAACCGCCTTTTAGAAAAAATGCAGACATTTAGCTCTAGTGGGCTGAAGGAGCTTCTTCTATAAATTCACACAGACAGACGGGGCTCTAGATGGTGAGAGATATGGAGAGTTCAATGAGAGGAGCAACATAACATCTGATCTCCATGCTATTTGTTTCTCTGGCTCTAATTAATACAGCTCAGGTCAAAGGTTTGCATACTTTCATCAGGGATAGGAACACCATGTTCTTTAAGCTTTTTCTGATGCATTTATAGTTTGTTTTTTTACACAACTTAAAACTACAGCAATTTAAAAAATAAGGAGTTGAAATTTGAACGAAACAATCAAATTTTCTTGAGGTCAAAATCATTCACAATAGAGATTCACTCATATTCAATAGATTTTTTATTGAAACTTGATAAATTTTTTACTAGTTACACACAGACTCATATTTTTAAGCCCTTATTTCTTTCATTATGACAATATACTACATTAGACAGATGAAATCACAACATTTAAGTTATGTAAAAAATTATATTAAAAGGTACATGTATATGATTTTAATAAAAAAAAAAAAAATCATATAAAGTTTGTTAATCCCTGCTTAAAGATTGGTATCTGAGAAAAGGTATTCCAGGCCTCATCTGAACTTATAATCATGTGTAATCTTTTGAATATTGCTGGATTAAAGGTTTAATGGATTAAATGTAGCTGAGAAAGTCTTACCAAAATGACAACCACTCCTCCTGACCAATTTAAATTGGTCAGCTTACTCCTGAACCTGGCTTTAATTAGTCAAATTTGTAATGGGGTTGAGATTTTGGAAAGGCTTAAGCTTAATCTAAACCAGATTTAATGTCTGTTTAGCCAAACAGTATCCAAGTTTAAGGCGTGTGATTCAAGATGTCTAGAGAATTGCTCAGAATATTTAAGAACCTCTGAGGCTCAAGTTTGAAATGAACTGGAAA